ATAAATGCGTTAATACATGGGACAAACTTAGAAGAGTCCGTAGCACATGAGAAGGTGTATGACTCTCCGTCTCTCTTTTTTTTGTTGTTGTTTTGTTTTTTTTTTTTTTTTTTGAGGCAGAGTCTTGGTAAGTGAACTTGTGACCCTCCCGCCTCAGCCTCCTGAGTGCTAGGATTATGAACACGCATCACCATGCCCAGCCAAGTCTTTACTATTGTTATTTCTATTATTATTACTATTTTTATTTATCTTGATGTTCCTGGGGCACAGCCACATCCCCCTATGCCTGGTACATGGCAGCTGGTTTCAGGACACCTCAGGGATTACCAAAATTCACATGCCGCTATCTACCTTATATTGCTTGTAGTTTATTTACAATACCTAAAACCAAGTAAACCTTATGTAAATGCAATCTGTGTCATTTAAAAGCAGGGACCAGTCCTGATAAATGCTGCTTTAGGCGATTTCATCACAAATCCAGATGTGTTCCCTGCTGCACAGCTGTGTGCTGTGATCACCATTGCATCTGCAACCCAGTGTGGTCCGAAGCAGCATTAAACACCCCTGACCGGCGTTGTTATGAGAATAATGGCAAGGGAAAATGCATGTGCGCGTTCAGCACAGATGCACATGTCTCCCAAATATTTTTGGTCTGCAGTTGGTGGAATCTGTCATACAGAGGGTTAACTGTCAGTGCTGAACTACTCCAAGAATTTGACATTGTAGGGTTGGGGTGGGGGTATGGGTAAAACTTTCAACACGGTGCCCAGCCCAAAATGTACTCACGGTCACCCGCCGAGGATCCGTGCTCCTTGCCTGATAGTCCCCAGGGACATTTTCCTCTCCCCAAGGCACTGTCTGTGAAAGGTTTGTACAGCGGCATCTTCGCACCGCTGGAGGAAATAACTGAGGTGGCAGGTACTGCTGGCAGCTAGAAGCATTGCTCTGCCTAACCAGCGAGCAATCAGCCGCCCCGCTCCCAGCAACCTTGGGGACTGCCTGCCACCTGGGAGGGAAGGACCTTCGCACTGCCTTCTGGGGTGCAGTTACTTCCTTGTGCATCCTGAGAGGCTTCAGGCCCTCTTCCCCAGCCTCCTAATTTCACGCTGCCAGCTCCCCTCCTGCTGCTTCCCGCCCTCCTGGGGCCCCAGGCTGAGCTCAGCACTGACCTTGCCCTTTGTCCTTACCCCCGGCACCCTCCTGAACTCATGGTTCTTCACATGCACAAGCCAGCTCATCTCTAGGACCAAACCCAAACCCCAAGGCTACAGAGCCCTCCTCAGCAGCCGTTGCCCGGGGGCGAGCTCGCCCCCTGCCTCTCGGAGCTGCGGAGGAACTTCGTGAACATGCGCCCAGCCAAACTCAAGAACCTGATCCTGCTGGTAAAGCACTGGTACCGTCAGGTGAAGCTGCTGCCTGGGAGGATCCCAGCTCCAGACATGTGACTGTCTGCCTTGTGCTTTCAGGATAGTGAAGGTGTTTTCTCATGGATAGTTCTGTTCATGTTCTCTTTCTGGGAAGCCCTCTTCCTATTCTTTGTCCACTTGTGCCTTGCTTAGCTGTCTTCTTATTTATTTGCTGCAACTCTTTATATATTGTGGATGCTCGTTTTCCTTTACTTGATAGAATACAACTCTATTCTCCCAGTCTGTGGCTTGTACTTTTGCTTTAAAGTTCATTTGTCAGTGAAAATATGTCAATATTGGTGTCGTGAGAAGTATTAATCTTTTTCTTAAATGAGTCCTTTTTGTGTCTGTCTTAAGAAGTCTTTCCCTATCCTAAATCATTCTCTCACATTGTTTTTCCAAAGTATTGCTTTTCGTAGCTAGGACTTTGACGTACTGACGTGAGCTAACGTGGAGCTTAGACACTACCTGCCCAGCCTCAGGAAACCCCCATCTGATAGATTCTGTCCAGCCTGTGCTTACAGGGGAGGGAATGAGCACCCCTGGAATCTCAAGGCACATATACCACTCATTCTAGGCCAGTCTGGGTGTGAGGAGAGCCTGGGTTCCATTTCTGCTTTAGACACTGACTTGCTGTGTGCCCCTGAGAATGGTCCTCGCCTCCCCTGGGCCTCTGCCTCCTCTGCTTGTGCATGACGGAGTACACGAGTCTATGAGTCGTTCTCTGGCTCTTCCCAGGTAAATAGGATGTTCCAGGCAGGGAGTGTGAGCAGCCTGGTACTTACTGAAGGGGCAAACTATGGAGCTCCTTTCCTGGGTACTGGAAGGGTTCTACCGGGATCCGGGCTGGGACGCGCGTCACAGCTCCAGAGAGGGCGGGGGTGGGGAGAGCCCAGCCCCATCCTGCCCGACACCTCTAGCCAGGCAGGTCACCTCCTGGTGAACCCCAGTAACGGCTCTCGCACTGCGCAGGCAGCCTTGGCACTTCGGCCGTGCTGCTGTTACCCCCTCCCTCGTCCATGCAGCCCCTGGGTACAGGCTGCAGAGTCAAAATCCTGTGTCAGGATGGGGGCGGGGGCAGAGCGCTGGAGGAACAGTTTGAGCTTCTCTGACCCCACCCCCCGCCTCCTGAGGGCTGGAAACTCACTCCTTCCCCATAACAGGCGCAAAGCCCCAGGCCAGCACAGCGAGGCGGATGAGAAGTGCTCTAGAGCAGGCGCAGGCACAGCGTGTGGTCCCCAGCTCAGCCTGCGGGGTCCCCGCCGGGCACCGAGAGCCAGCGGAGCTCTGCAGAGTGGCTCCCCACCGTGCTGAGCTCTGTCCTGCCTGGCCCAGGTGTGCCTGCAGGAGGCCAGGAGGAAGGCGCTGCCTCCCGTCTACGCCCTGGAGCTGCTCACCGTCTTCGCCTGGGAGCGGGGCTGCGGGAACCCAGCCTTCGGCCTGGCCCGAGGCCTGCGCACCGTGCTGGGCTTGATTGAGCGGTACCGGCACCTGTGTGTTTTCTGGAGCGACAACTATGACTTGGAGGATCCTATGGTTGGGAAGTTCCTGCAGCAGCAGCTTGAGAGACCCAGGTAGCCTCCAGGACCCCACCGCTCTCCTGGCCCTGGGTCACGGGGAGCTGACTAGCAGGGGGAGCGCGGGGCCCTGCTGGGGAAGTAAAGTGCTGCGGTTTCAGGCCCAGATGCACCTTAGATCTGCCTGAGGGAGGCTGAAAAAGTATAATGACGCCGAGGGCATGTATTTTGTGTGTGACTGTTGTACTGATGTATAATATGCACAGACTTGTAAAAGTGTCACCACCACCCCATCACTGCAGAATATTGCCAGCACCCCTCTCTCCGTGGTGCCCCAAAGATAAGCCTGTTCTAACTTTTATAACTGTAGTCTTTCCTGTTCTTAAATCTTCATTGCACGTAGTTGTGCAGCATGTCTTTTGCGTCTGGCCTCACTTTCTCCACATTGTCTGTGTGTCTATCCAGATATTTGTGTGTGGCTGTGGTTCATCCCTTTTCTTTGCTGCATAATATTCCACTGTGTGAATCTTTCACAAAGGAGTTCTACCCAACTGATGACAGATGTTTGGGTCGTTTCTCATTGGGATCTGTTACGAACACAGTTGTTATAAATGACTAGGCTGTGCATGTTTTGGATGTGTATGCATCAGATGGCTCAGGAATGAAATTTCTAAGCCACAGGGTATAAGTCAGAGTCCCCAGGCCATGCTGTCTTATGACTGTACTAAGCAGCCATGGGCCAGGGTCGTGGCTCCAAGTCCATCTCTGCAATAGGCCAGAGAGTGGGCGCTAGTGTCCTCATTTTGAAAACGGGGAAACTGGAGCTCAGAGAAGGTCCACTGTCTGCCCTGGTCACACAGCTGGAAGGTGCAGGCTCGGGCTGGAACCAGTGCCGCTGGGCTCCAGAGCCCCTTGCTCATCAGAGCCTCGTCTCTCGGGAATCACAGGCCTGTGATCCTGGACCCAGCTGACCCCACGTGGGACGTGGGCCACGGGGCAGCCTGGCGGTGGGACGTGTTGGCCCAGGAGGCCGCATCCTGCTGTGACAACCCGTGCTTTATGCAGGCAACTGGGGACCCTGTGCAGCCCTGGGAGGGGCCAGTGAGAGAGGGGCTCCCCGGAACCCGTGGGTTTGCACATAGTTTATGCGCTCAGCATTTCCTGCGCACCAGCGCCGTGCCAGGGCCCAGGGGTGTGGATCAGGGCTGTGTGGCGGGGCAGCGGGCTCGTCAGACATCCGGTCACCCAGGCATGGCGGCTGGCGGGAAGGAGCTCCTCTGTCTGCCGCACAGTTGCCTGCTGCCCAGGCTTTTCTGCCCACCGCAAGGAGGGGGACCTTCCTGCAGTTTGTCCCCCACAGAACGGCGCCTTGGCCTTACCTGCCCTAAGCCACCATGTCTCTGTTCCCCACGCTGAGCCTCGGTCACCCAACTGTGCGAAGGGAGGAGGCCACTAAGGGGAGTCGGGTGGGCATAGAGACCTGTGCACCCACTGAGGCAGCTCTCCAACTCCCTTCCAGGACCTTCTGCGTGCTGGGGGCGCAGGTGTGGGCCACCCCATCCATGGAGACCCGGCCCAGGGAATCCCTGAGGACAGCAGGAGCCACAATGCCATGCTCCTAAGTGCAGGGGATAAGCCGCCGCCATACCCACCTTCTGCCAGTGCCACATTTCGAGAAAACCAGAATGGCTGCGGTCTGGGCTTTTGCACCACTGTAAGTGGGGCTAGCGTAAGTCGAGGACTGGCTGCATGTTTAACTGCAGGCTTGGCTTTGCTTTGCTTTCTAGTAACATGGGAGGGTGTGGTCTCGGGGCTGCAGGACTGGGCCCCGGCTCCCTCTGACCCTCACTGATGTCACACGGGGCTCCGGCGAGGCGCTCATCTCGTCTGGGAACGCTCCCCCTCCTTAAATCCCTGATCCAATGTTTGCCTCTGACCATGAAATTTAATTAATTTAAAGTTCCCATCTCCCCACAGGCACATAGCGTCTCTCAGGAATCCCTGCTCACCCCGTACCTCCTGCCCCTATCCCCAGCTGAAAGGTGCTTTTCCGGAGGACAGAGCCCTGTACCCACTCACACAGATCCAGGCCCATGTCAGTGCTCAGTACGGATTTGTTGCATGAGTGAATCAACGAATCGATTCGATTCGATTCATTCGTTTATTGATTCACACAGCACACATCTGCAGGCCCCTTGGCTCTGGGGCCCCAATTTTGCATCTGCTGGTCCAGATATGCAGTGGGTGTCATAGATGCTGGCTGAAGACATTTGATCTAGGACCTTACTCCACCTGCCCGGGGGTCTATGGCTGCACATTGGTCTGATTTGCTTGGCTCTTAAGGATCAGAGGTCACAGGTCCCATGCAGTCTGCCTCTGCCAGGTGTCCCCAGACCTGAGGTCTGCAAGAGAACCATTTCTGGGGTGCAGATGGGGTACAGTTGACAGGATCTGAGGCTGACCTTGAGCCCTCACAAGGCCCCTGGTCTGAGCTGCTGTCCCTCCACAGGGCGGCTCGTTGGGCCGGGGCACCGACCTAAGGGGTGACTGTGACATCGAGCTCATCATCTTCCTCAACAACCTCCGGGGCTTCAAGGACCAGGGTCCTCAGTGTGCGGAGATCCTAGCTGACATGCGGGCCCAGATAGAGCCCTGGTGGCGAGGTTCCTGACCACCATGAACTGGTCCCTGGCCTCAGCCTCAAGTTTCCTGAGCAGAAGGCGCCTGGTGCACTGCAGTGCCAGCTCGTGTCTGCAGCTCTAGGAAGCCGGGCGGACATCAGCCTGCTGCCCACCTTTGATGCCACGGGTGAGTGGCGCCCAGCCTGTACCTGGAAGAGCGAAAGGGACCCAGGGCACCAGAAAACATGTACTGGGGCACTGACATCCTCCTTCTGATCCCCATCTTCCTACTTAACCAAACGTGAAAAAGTACTTTATAATATCTAAGGCAACCACCACCATCACATCTTAAAGCCCGTTAATGCTTCCCCCTTTACAAAGATTTTAATCATGAAACAGTTAAAATCTACAGAAAACTCCAGCACCACTCACCCATGTACTCCACTGGGGTAAAACAAGTAGTAACAATCCACCATACCTGCTTGGAATTTTCTTTCACTTTTCTTAATTAATTAATTTATGTATGGAGGTGCTGGGGGTTCAGTCCAGGCCCTCACATTGAGCTATGTCCTTGTCTTGGTTACTTTTCTCTCATGGCTGAGGCAAAATACCTGACGCCCAGAATTAAGGAAGGAAAGGTCTATTTAGCTCAGTTTGTGGAGGTTTCAGTCCATACTCGGCTGACTCCAAGCCAGAGTGGCACATGGCAGAGGGCAACGTTCATGGCAGCGGAAAACAGCAAAAGCAGCAAGAGCATAAAGGGAGGAGCAGCAGCGGGCAGAGCAAGACTCTTTTCCTCCCTTATACTGTATGCAGGTTATCCACTGCAGGGCGGGTGTAGCACTCACACCCATAATCCCAGCATTGGCCCATCAATCAATCAAAAACTCTAGAAGCCCACCCCATGACTGTGTGACGCTTTGGGGGGACATCTAGACACAAACTGTAATAGTCCTCAGACTTCCCCACCCCAGCCTCTTTTTTTAAATCTTGAGGTAGGGTCTCACCAAGTTGCTAAGTTGCCCAAGCTCATCCCAAATTTGGAATCCTCCTGCCTCAGCCTCCTAGAGTGTTGGGATTACAGGTACACAGTACCACACTGGCTGGGATTTTTTTAAAGGAAAATTTTATGTGATGATTTCCTTCTTCCTTTTAGGGGGTTTATTTTAGGATTCATTTTCCCTACTTTGGAATGTGACTCTTAGCTTGGCAATTGTCAAGCTTAATAAATGCAATGAACACCATACACTTCCACTTAAAAATGTCAGCAGCATGACACACATTTTGATATGCATAGCTTCTATCATCATTCAGGTCCAAACATTTTCAACTTTTAATTATGATATAATTTGTTGTGTCATCCATGAATATGAGGAAGCAGGTTTCCAAGTGAATGCTTCAGAGTTTAGTTTCTTTGTTTGCTTTTAGCATTTACTTCTTTTTATTGTAGTCAAAAAATAAGTTTGTGCTATCAATGCACTGGAATTTGCTGCACTTTTGAGCCTGAGACTTTGTCTAAAAACCTTTCTGTTTCACTTGCACACTTGAATCAAGCTGCTGACTGTTTTTGCCCTTGAGGTCTTCACTCTTCTGACCCTTGTCCCTTTATTATAAGTTCTTTGTTTAAAAAAAAAAATCTTATCTTCTTTCGAGTGCAATTTTTTGTTTGCTAGTTCTGTTTCCATTTCCCTTTTGACAGCATGTCAGACTTTCTCTTTGTCCACAGAATTCAATTTCCCATTGATACATGAGTGCTTGGATTTCTCTTCCTGCCTCCTGTTGGGAACCTGCTGTAGCTCCTGGATCTGAGAGTTCAGTTCTCCTTTTAGTTTTGGGACTATATCTCCCAATGTCTCTTTGAGTATTGTGTTTCCTCCATGCTTTCTGTGTTCTACCTCTGAGCCCCCTATGAGATTTTTACTCACTTCATCTGATTTCCATCTCTCATTTTTCCCATCTCTGTTTGTTTGAGTTTTATTTTGTTTTGTTTTGTTTTAGACAGGGCCTTGCTATATTGCTCAGACTGGCCTCAAACTCACCATCCTCCTTACTTAGCCTCTCCAGTAGCCAGGATTACAGGTGTGCACCAACACACCTGGCCTTCCCACCTCTATCTCTCAGGTTGTCTACTTCTGAGTTACTCAGATCCATATTTCAGTTTACTAATTCTCTTCAAGTGTGTGTCTTAGTATGTGCTACTAATCTGTAACAATTCTACAACTTGATCGGGTTGAGATCCACCTAGGAGATTAGTAAAACACACTTCTGCATGTGTCTGGGTGGGACATGGAGGAGTGACCATAGGTACTATATCTGGTCCCTTGTCCCTTCTTGTCACTGTTCCCTTGTTCTGCTCCCTGACCACCATGAACTAGCACCTTTGATCCTCCGTGCCCTTCTTCCGTGATGTTTCTGCCTAAGCACTAACCAACCATGAACTGAACCCTTCAAAGCTGTAAGCCAAATGAACTTCTTTAAATTATGGGTGTCAGGTATTTTACCCAGCAATGGAAAAGCTGGCTAGTACACTATGCGTAATTTTTTTTTTTATTTCAATGTGATCATTTTTCACTTCTAGAAGTTGTTTGGCTCTTTCTCAAATCAACCTATTTGCTCAGAATGCTTCCGTTCTTTCATTGTACTTAAGTTTCTGTCATCTCTTGATTTTAAACATGTTTATTTTCATCTCTGTGATTGTCCTATTATCTTGAACCTGCAAAGAGCTCATCCTCCCACTGGCTGTGTCACCTGACTCTGGCCATGGTGGACCATGTCCTCGTGTGGTTCATCGATTTTTATCGTGAGGCCCACAGAGTGTGTGGAGCATGACTCTCTCTCCGTTTCTGTGGAAGTTTCTTCTGCTGCAGGTTGGGGAAAGATCTCTTGTGAGTTACCAGTTAGCTTAGTGAATTACTGAAAAGCATCCAATTAGTAGTTGATTAAAAAAAAAGTCCTGAGCTTATCCAGTGCCGTGGTATATTATTGATTACAATATTGTGCAATTAATGTTGAAATTAACTACATTTACTAATGTGATTAATTGAACTAATGTTGAATGGATGTTTGAAGAAACACTGCTGTCTTCCTGTAGAGTTGCAAACTTAAGTGATTCAAATCTCCACAGGGAAGCTCAGTTCTGGGGCTAAACCTAAGCCCCACGTCTACTTGGACCTCTTCAATAGCAGCTGCTGGGGGTGGGGAGCATGCTGCCTGCTTCGCAGAGCTGCCGAGGAACTTCGTGAACATGCGCCCAGCCAAACTCAAGAACCTGATCTTGCTTGTGAAGCACTGGTACTGCCATGTGAGTGCACTGTCCTTTAGCCAGAAAGTTGCTGGCAACACCTCGGCCAATCAGCTTCTTGCTTACACAGATATGACATGTCATGACAACTGCTTGAGCCAATCAACTTCTCCCTTATACAGACTTCTCTTTTGGCTTACATAGACCTCTCATTGGCTATCCAAAGCAGAAAGACCGCCTCCTCCATCCTGTGTTTCCTGCCTGGGTCTGGAAGCCACTGTATCTTGTCTCCATGAAGTGCAAAGTCCTCCTTTTGTGTACACAGAGTCCACCACCCCGGTCTAGCCCGTGTTCCTCCCTCTTGCACACAGTCCATATGATTTTCCTGTTCTTCCCTCCCTCCAAGCCTTTGCTTATTCTGTTCCACCAGTCATCATCTTCTTTGCAAGTTGTGCTAAATGCTGAGCACCTTCAAAGCCCCCTTCTTAAATGCTTCTCAGAGCGCCAACTCCTAATCTTGCACTCTTTCACGTACCCAGCAGACATCTGTCCAGCAGCCACCATTGCCGGTTGTTGTACGGATGTTGGGTTACCAAGGTGCATATACTCATCCGGCTACAACTCCACACACTTCTTGAAGGGAAACCCAAGCAAGGCCATGTCTGTGTGACCAAGACTCACTGTGTGACTTTGGGCATGTCAGTGGTCTCCTCTGGACCTCAGTTTACCCACCTGTAAGACAAAATCACCCCTGAGCCATCACCAAAGTCCTGTTCTTTTTGTGATCTGTTTTGTGTCTTCCTCTCTTATTTCCAGTGCTTAGGGCCACGTTCTGCATGGGACGGGCACCCACCTCCACTGATCTCTGGTTGCCTTCATATCGTAGGTTGCAGCTCAAAACACAGGTAAAGAGCAAGTCAGTGCCTCTCTGTCCCCAGCCTATGCTCTGGAGCTCCTGACCATTTTTGCCTGGGAGCAAGGCTCTGGGGAGGACCGTTTCAACATGGCCCAAGGCCTCCAGACCGTCATGGGGCTTGTCCAGCAGCATGGGCAGCTCTGTGTCTACTGGACACTCAACTATGGCATTGAGGACCCAGCTCTGAGAATGCACATTCTCGGCCAGCTTCAGAAAGCTAGGTGCACACTCGCTTCACCATTGCCTGCCTTCTGCCTCCTCTTCCTCCTCTTCACCCTGGAGTCTGTGTATCCAGGAGTGACCCAGGGAGGGCCTTGGGTCCTCACCTACCCCTCACCCTGCTGCCCCCTGGATTCTGATGAGGGAGTCTGCCCACAGGAGCCCCGTGGGTTTTATTAGCACAGTAGAATGTCATTCCTGTAAGGGGCCTCCCAGTAGCTTCCCGATTGAGGCACTTGGGTGAGCTGGGCCAAACCTCACACCTTTTCCAAGTCCCTCCCTTCCCTGACTCCCACCTCCCAACCCCTGCTCTGCCCGCAGGCCCCTAGTCCTGGGCCCAGCTGACCCCACCTGGAATGCGGGCCAGGGCGGCTGGGAGCTGTTGGCCCAGCAAGCGGCAGCTTGGAGATACAGATCTCCCTCATGAGTGGGACTAGGACACCAGTGGAGCCCTGGGATGTGACGGTAAGGCTGGCAGGTGCCCTTTACCTGCGGTGCACACATCCCCAGGTACGAGGAGGTTTGCTAGCCGATGATTACAGCTGTCCCTTCCTCTGGAAAGTTGGCCTCCATGAGAGGCCCAAGTTGCTACATCCCAGCTGGGCCTGCATGACATGGGTACGAAAAGCCCACCTTTATCTAAAGGTGGCACCAACTCTACAGTTTACACTCCTGAGCTCTCTGTGGCATCAGGCAAAAGCTACCTGCAGCTGAGTCCCTGTCTTCTATGCTCCTTCCGCAGTCCCTGCTGCTGTCCCCATCCCCCACCTCCCGCAAGCCCATCCCAAGTCAATCATGTGCTCCAGAATTCCCACGTTAGGCTCTCCTGCTAGAGAAAATGACCTAAGACATAAGCTATTGGCAGCTCCCAGAGGGCTGTTATAATGTTCCATTATTCGTTACTGTAATGCAATGCCTGAAGCTGGGCACGTTTATAAAGAAAAGAGGCTTATTTCACAGAGGCTTATTTCACAGAGCTTATTTCACAAAAGAGCCTTAGCTCACAGTTCAAGGGGTTCAAGATGCATGGTACCTGTGTTAGCTCAGCTCTGGTGAGGATCCCATGGTGAGTGTGGGAGGAAGAGATCTCATCTCAGGACAGGAAGCCAGAGAGGATTCAGATCACGGTCTCTTATAACAACTTCCTCCAGGAGTTTCCATGACAACTGCCTAATCCCTTCCAAGCCCCTCCCCCAGTTACCTCCCACTAAGATCCACCTCTTAAAGTGACCACGCTTCCCACACAGAAACCTGTGCATGACAGACCACACCCAAACCACAGAAGAGATGAGTTCACATTTGCTGTTCTGCAGCCGGGTCTCATAAAACATGCTTGACACTCCAGGCAACCATGAGATGTGGGCCTCATTATTGCCCCCATTTGCAATGGGGAAACTGAGGCTGTGGCCAAACCAGAATTTGAACTCAGATCCCTCAGGACCCGCCAACCAGCTGTGCAGGAGACAGTGGGCGCCTTGTCCTCAGCACGCAGCAGGGATGGGACTGGAGGACTCCTTGGGACCTGTGGCCCCAGCAGGTCCCGCCTGGTTCTCCCTGCAGCCCGCGCTCCTGCACCAGACCCCCGCCAGAGACCTGGACAGGTTCATCAGCGACATCCTCCAGCCCAGCCGTCAGTTCCTGGCGCAGGTGAACAAGGATGTGGACACCATCTGCTCATTCCTGAGGGAGAACTGCTTCCGGGACTCACCCATCAGAGTGCTCAAGGTGGTCAAGGTCGGTCCCTGAGCCCGGGCACGGGCTCCTGTGGGCTGCAGCCGCCTGGGCTGGGGCTAGGCCCGATCCTCCTCTCTGTAGCCACTGAGCCCACCAACACTAGGCTGGGCTTGGAGGAGGAGCCAGAACGTAGTCACAGGTGGTGAGCGAGGGCCCAGAGAAGTCCTGCTAGTCTCTCCTCAGTGCTGGTGATGCCCAGCTCAAAAGAGGCTGCTTTGCAATGTATTGACTGATGTAACCGGAAAGGCCAGGAACAGATCTGCTTTCAGGCACAGCTAGATCCAGGGCAGTGGGACTCAGGTTTTCCCTGTGTGCTGGACTCTGCTGTTTTCTAAGTAAAAGCACAACAAGTTTATTTACAACACCACAGTCACCATTCTGATTTCCACAAAACCTGCAAGATCAGCTCTGCTGAGGAGGACAGGATCTTCCCAGAGCTGGTCCTATGCATCCAGAGAGGGGACGTTTCTTTTCCTAAAATTCAAGTAGAAGTCTTGGAGTTGTGGCTTGGGTTACAACCAGCCACTGAAGCTGGGAGACCCCAGGCTCCATTGGGGCTCCAGACCCCATGGGTGAGGATGGGGAGCAATGGTCCCCCCAAAATAACTGGGATGCTGATTCCAGGGGTAAAGGATGCTGGGATGGTACAAGAGGTCACATCATCCTCTGCATGACTTCGGTCTATAAGGGAGACCTAGTCAGCTGGGGAGAAAGCCCTGCACAGCATCTGGCAGCCATGGTTCCAGGCCTGCTGGGGTGCTGTGTGACCCCAAGGAAGTATCTTTCCCTCTCTGATCCCTAGCTGCCTTATCCATACATTGGAGAAAGACAGCTTGACTCCTTGTTTTCCAACCCTGCTTCACCTTGAGCTCACAGACATTTTCTAAGAACATTCACTGCTGTCCAGTCTCTGTCCCGGGCCAAATCAGATCCCAGGAATAGAAGTCAATCTTCAATCATTTTTAAAAAGAGGTGCAGACAGGCTTGAGAGGCTCTGGCCAAAGCAACCAAGCAAAACCTCTCAAATCTTCCCAGCCCCAAGCTGCGATGGAACAAGAAGCCTAAACCCTTCTTTCAAACAGGGCGTAAGCTCACCCCTGACACGCTTCCTTTTCCTACAGTCATGCCATATTTAAAACTGTAAAGCCAGGCACGGTGGCACACACCTGTAATCCTAGCACTGGGGAGGCTGAGGCAGGAGGATCCCTGGGAGTTGAAGGCCAGGCTAGGCTACATAGTGAGTTCAAGGCCAGCCTGAGCTACATAGCCAGACCCTGTCTCAAAAAGACAAAACAGACTGGGTAACTTACCCGAGGCCACAGAGCAGCCCCTGATCTGGAATGCAGCACCCACAGGCTGGAGGATGGCAGAGGGCACTGCAGGGCTCTGGGGTTGAGCCACCCGCCACATCCTCCCCAGGGTGGTTCTTCGGCCAAGGGTATAGCGCTGCGAGGCCGCTCGGACGCCGACATCGTGGTTTTCCTCAGCTGCTTCTGCCACTTCACTGAGCACAGCATCCGACGGGCCGAAGTGATCTCGGAAATCCAAGCCCAGCTGGAGGCCTGTCAGCAGGAGATGCAATTTGAGGTCAAATTTGAGATCCCCAAGTGGGAGGATGCTCGAGTACTGAGCTTCACACTGACATCCCAGATGATCCTGGACCAGAGTGTGGACTTCGACGTGCTTCCGGCCTTTGATGCCCTAGGTGAGGGTCCCAGGTGTAGCCTGAGAAAGGAAAGAGCAGAGGCAGGGTGGGCCTAGGCAGTTGTAGAGGTTGTGCACTGCACAACCAGGCCATACCTATTCGAACTGTAGAGGTGTAGGCTTATTACAACTTTCTTGCAAAGTGTCTTTCTAAGTCACAAAGATGCCATATGGGCACCCAGGGCCCCGAGCTGGGTTCCAGCCCAGCAAGTTCACGGGGTGACTGAGCAAAGGATGTCCCGCCTCCTTGGCCTGCCACGGATTGGTGGTTCGATTCATCCCATAAACACACTTACGCCATGCCTGCCTCTCTTCCAGCCACCAAGGGAAAGGTGCTGAACAAAGCCAGGAGAATCTCCCTATCGCTTCATCCCCCTCGTTCTGGGTTTGCTAAGAGAGCCTGCGGTGGGGGAAACTCCCCCGCATCTGAATATAGTCGGTTCCAGGGCTCTGTGTGGCAACAGTGGAGGACAAAGTCGCGCAGAGCTTTGTGTGCACCTGCCCGGTCCCTCGGCTTCCAAAGCAAGAATTCAGCGGTTCAGGAAACCTCAGGGCCCACCCAGCCCGAGGGCGGCCTCTCCCCGCCATAAGCACGTGCGCATGACCTGCAGGCTCCGTGTGCCACGGGGCGGGAGGGCGGTGTAGACACTGAGGCTCCGCGCGGTGAGCGGCGCTGTCCCCGCCTTGGAGGCTGGGCGACGCCGCCTCCGTGTCCCCGCAGAAGCCCCGGTGGCTCCCCGTAGGTCTTAGGGGCCACCTGCTGGCGGGGCGGCGGCCTCAGAAGTCCTGACTCAGCCCCCCGCTACCGTGGGAGGCAGTGACGAGACTTTCGGTGCCCTCCGCCCGCCCGCTCTCCAGGCCCCCTGGTGCCCGGCTCCAGGCCCGACCCTCGCGTCTAGGCGGACCTCATCCGCAGCTACAGCGTCCCCGGAGAGTTCTGCCTGCTTCACCGAGCTCCAGCGCGACTTCATCGTCTCACGGCCCACCAAGCTGAAGAGCCTGATTCGGCTGGTCAAGCCCTGGTACCGAGAGGTCCAGGTTCGGCTCGGGGTTCCCCGGGATTCCTAGGAGCAGGCAGGGCTCAGCCACCCCAGGACCCAGGGTAGTAGAGCAGAGAAAGGGCCCTGTCCCGGTGCTGGGACCTCGGTGCTTTTTGTTTTTTTCTTGTCTTCTTGAGACAGGGTCTCGCTATGCAGTTCAGGCTGGCCTTGAGCTCACTTTGTAGCCCAGGCTGGTCTCGAACTTGCAATGATCCTCCTGATGTAGGAGAAAGAAACTCCCAACCTGCTAGATGTGTTCTCTAAAATCGAAGAATGAATTTTAGGAACAACGGAGGTTAAGAGGAGAATATATTTATTGGGGGAAAGAAAGATTCTGTCTGAGAGATAAAGGGTTCCGAGTGGGTTGCTAAGGATCCTGGTTTTTCTTCTTCTTTTTTTTTTTTTTTAGGACTTTGCCTTTTCTAGGGATTTTTATAGAGCAGCTCCACGAAGTGAGGCAGGTCCAAGGTGGGGAAAATGGGAAATCGCATAGTGGCCATGAGGTGGAACAAAACTATGGTCAGCCGATAGGATTATGAGTATAATTGCTCAGGTAATATTGATTAAATCAGGATCAAATGGGGGAGCAAGTCACATAGGAAGCGGGCATGAATACAGAACAGGGGTTTTTCTTGTAGGGGGTTGGGTTAGTGACTCTTCCTGGCTTTCTCAAGATGATGGACACCTGTTTAGAATATCAGTCCCTGATGTTTATCCTCAGGAAGTGTGTGGGTGCATTTGTTTTATCTCTTCTCTGGAGATCTGGCCCACGGTGAGGTGCCCGTCTCTCCCATAGTTGTAAGCTATCTCGTCTTCTGCACTGGTTCCTTCGAGGGCCTGGCCCTCTCTGACTGTTTATAATGTTTTTACCTAACTCAGTTGCCTGTAACTCTCCTGCCTCAGCCTCCCTAATGCTGGGATTACAGGTGGGACTTTGGTGGTTTTATTAGCAAAATGGAGTGACATAACCATGTCCCAGAGTCAGGTATTGTGATGCCTCAGAAGCCAATGGGTGCCTGGAGGTCTCAATAAAAGTTGGGGGTTGTTTGCCATGTCCAGAAAGGGCCCTCCTGCACCTCAGCATCGCTAACGTGGGCCAATGCACCTCCTCTCTCCTTGTGTCCCACAGCAAGAAGATATGCAAGGGCCAGGGCTCCCTGACCCCCAGCATGAGCTGGAGCTCCTCACCGTGTACACCTGGGAGCAGGGTGGGCAGGACCCCCAATTCAGCATGGCGGGGGGGCTTCTGCACCGTCCTGGAGCTGGTCAGTCAGTACCGCCAGCTCTGCGTCTACTGGACAGTCAGCTACAGCGCAGAGGACCAGGCCGTGGGAGACTTCCTGAAACAGCAGCTTCAGAGGCCCAGGTTCAAGTCCACCCCATAACCCAGGGCCTCAGACCCAGGGTCACAGGGCCGAAAACAGCTCCTTTCTAGAAGTGGTGTTTTGGGCACCCAAGGGCCAAGCAGTCAGTCTGCCAGCCAGCTGGAACAGGGTTTCCGGGTGAAATGCAGAACTACATGCTCAGTTGAGGTTCAGGTAAATTATGAATAACTTTTCAGTGTAAGTACCTCCCATGCAATAGCTGGGATGTACTTACACTTTTCAAAATGTGCATTCACTGTTTATCTGAAGCTCAGCTCTACCTGGGCGCCCTGTGTTTATATTTATGCTCTCTGGCGCCCCTGCCAGTGGACCCAACAGGTACCCAAAGCTTGCCGCAGGCAGTGGGATTGTGCCTGCCTCTGAATGGTGTAGAGATACCGGAGATGGTTTCCAAAGCTCGAGGTACATCTCCAGCCAGTGGGTAGTGGCCACATAGACAGAGGTGTTGAAAAAGACTCTGATGTGGTGATTTGCATCTGCTAGAAGGAGCAGCCTATCAGGTAGTAGCATCTGCCCTGGCTGCAGGAAGGGAAAGTGATGGACCAGTGCTGTGATTGATTATCAGTGCCTGCTATACCTGTGAAGGGGAAACAGTAGCACTGTGATAGATTAGTAATGTCTGCCTGGGTACAGAATGGAACTGTGACCCAAGCTGTACCTGCTTTTCCAACCCTGTCCTGGTGTGCGGACGTGGATCACTGAGGAGTCTCTGAGCCCAGGCCCTGGCCCCTGCAGGGTGTCAGGGGAGGGTGAAGAACAGTCCCAGGTGGACAGCTGGTGTCATAGGAGAAAGACTGATTGGGTGGAGTTGAATTGCAGGCCCATCATCCTGGACCCGGCTGACCCAACAGGGAACCTGGGCCTCAGTGCCCGCTGGGACCTGCTGGCTACGGAAGCGGCAGCCTGCATGGAGGCCCGGTGCTGCATGGGCAAGGACGGCACCCCCATCCAGCCATGGCCTGTGAGGGTGAGGATGTGGGGCACCCTTGGTCACGGCCCCACAGTGCCACTGTGCCTCAGTTTCCTGGCTGGTCATGTGGACTCAGCCCTTACCGGAAGGCTGGGGCGACTGACACCTCCTCTAACACCCCTCCAGGCTGCCGTGGGAGGTCCAGGAAGTCAGAAGTCGCCCTGTGTGGACAAAGAATGGACAGCACCCCTTGGCAAGGGGAGGCCCAGGATGCCCACCAGCCGTGCCCACAAATGTGCACACGTGTGTGCTCACACCATCCTTCTGTCTGTCCTGCCCCTGGCTCCCCCGTTCCTCCCCACAGCCCACGCTGCTTCCCCAGGGCAGCAGCAACTCAGGCACCTCTTGTTTCAGAGAGGCGCTGCCTTTCCCTCCCCCTCCCCATCTGACCCTGCAGGAGGAGAAATGGCCTTTCTGTGATCAATTAGCAATGTCTGCCAGGATGCAGAATGGAAACCTGGCCACATGTGGCTTCTTGTCTGTCCCTGCCCTACAATGTGTGTCTGGGGCACTGGGCACTCCTAAGCCCCACCCCTGACCTCTGCATTTCCAGCTTCTCCACCACCCCTGGGCTCTCTTCTCACTCCACTGCTATGTGGAGTGCCCTCCTCCCCCCTGATCACCTGTCTGTCTCCTAGTGGCCTCTGCTGCTCCCCTAGTCCAGGCACTTTTTTCAAGTATGGTAGAGCATCTCTACTCATCTGTCGGCCGCAGTCAGTGACACAGGTTACCTGGAGCTCTTTGCTCTAAAGGGTTCTCTGAGTTGCTGCTGCTGCGGCTGCACCTCGTCCCAGTCCACGCGTCACTGCTGCCGCCATGCTTCTTGGTGAAGAGGCTCCCAACTTCAAGGCCAACACCACCATCATCCTCATCCGTTTCCATGCTTTCTGGGAGACCCATGGGGCTTCCTCTTCTCCCACCCACGGGACTTCACCCCCGTGTGCACCACAGAGCTTGGCAGAGCAGCAAAGCTGGCACCAGAGTTTGCCAAGAGGAATGTTACATTGATTGCCCTTTCCAGAGACAGTGTAGAAGACCATTTTGCCAGGAGCAAGGATATCAATGTTTAAAATGGTGATGGGCCCACAGAAAAGTTACCTTTTCCCATTACTGATGATAAGAATCAGGACCTTGCTGTCCTCTTGGGCATGCTCGACCCAGCAGAAAAGGATGAGAAGGGCATGCCCGCGACAGCTCGTGTGGTATTTGGTTTTGGTCCTGACAAGAAACTGAAGCTATCCATCCTCTATCCAGATACCACTGGCAGAAGCTTTGATGAGATTCTCAGAGTAGTTATCTCTCTCCAGCTGACAGCAGAAAAAAGGGTCATCACCCCTGTTAATTAGAAGGATGGAGACAGTGTTATGGTCCTTCCAACTATCCCTGAAGAAGAAGCTAAAAAACTTTTCCCTAAAGGAGTCTTCACCAAAGAACTCCCATCTGGCAAGAAATACCTCTGCTACACTCCCCAGCCTTAGATCTGAGAAGCTGAGGCTGTAGCTCCTCCCTCAGTGAGCCAAAGGGTGTCAGCTGCCAGTCACGTGTGCCTGCAGCAGTTCCATAAGAATATCCTGATGTGATAACAGCCAAGGTCTTTACGTTGCTGTACTACTGGCTTGTTAAACGGAAGTAGCACTAAAATTTTCATGGGATTCTTTACTATGTGCCTTCACCAGCACTATGTCCTGTTCACACATCCCAGCACTCTGCTGCTGGCTGACTCTTCTTGGAATTCATTCTCTATTTGAGACTCAGCTCCTGTTGGGTCCCTGCAGGGTTTTTGATCAACAAGGTAGTATTTGTTGGTGGTTGAGAAAGTTTACCTTTCTCCGTCACAGAATGACTATCAGTTTTTGTAGCTGTCTTAATCAAATCCTCTCTTCTGTTCCCATTTTGGAAAGTAACACAACTGGAAATTCACCTTCCTCTGTAAATATCGAAGTATGTAGCCCAGGAACTCAGATATTCTTTAACAATCAGTGTTTTAGTCACAGCTGGAAAGGAGAACTTTTCAATTCTGTACCTTTCTAGAAGATAATTAAATTGGTGGGTGTGTGTGTATATTTTGCTATAAAAAAATTTTTGTGATAAATTTCTGTGAAAGGGGGAAGAGGCTTCCTTTCCTGCCAGGGAGCTGCACCTGAGGGCGTGAGCATAGGTGCCATGTGCCTTTCACCAAGTATTGCTATATGTCAGCCTGCTCTGAAGATGTCGGCATGGGAGACCAGACCTTGTGAAAAGAAGAGGAGGATTGAGAATGTGTGACAGTTCTATTCTTGCAGTGGGCTGCTGTTTGCTGGATTTTGCTTTTAGGGGATCAGTAAATAAAATCCTTTACTGAAACTGAAAAAAATAAAAATAAAGGCTTCTGAAAAAGGAATCTTTGGCTAAGAAGAACTAATCAGCTAGTGATGTCTGCCCTGGATGCAGTATAGGAGACTGGTTATATAGGTGCTGTCTGTGCTTGATTAGCAATGTCTGAACTGGACACAAAAGAGTATCTCACAGGCCTATTATGTGCCAGAGCTGTTGAGGTCCCAGAGCTCAGTTGTCAAGTAGAGCATATTGGGATTTGCTAGCTCTGTCTGCTGCAGATGGACATGCACACTATGCAGATGGACTTTCTCCACCTTTGCTGCCACATTTGTCCCCTAGCATACACTTCTTCATGTCATGACATTTGTTTGTTTGTTTTTTTGTGGGGTTTTTTGATGACGCTGGGGTTTAAACCCAGGCCCTTTGTACTGAGCTATATCTTCAGCCTTTTTAAGTTTTGAGACAGCCTCTTGCTAAGTTGCCCAGGCTGGACTTGAACTTATGATCTTCCTGTCTCCACCTCACACAGTGCTGGTATTACAGGTGTGTGCCACCACACCTGACTTGGACCTTGATTTTTTTTCTCCTAATGCTAGAATGTCACTGTATATTGGCTGTCAGCCCACGCCCACACCATCTCTGTGCCCTCTTCTTGCACAGGCTCAGGATGTAGAACTGCTGGATCATTTAGCCAAGTCTCTAGACTCCTCAAATTGACCCAGTGTATCAACCATAACAATGCACCCCTTGTCTACTTGGCAACCAGACATATTTCTTTAAACCACTTTCCGGATACAAAGACATTATTCTTATCATTTCACAACTTGAACATTATAACACAGGTTTAACAATCCTTAAGAATTAGTATTAAGTCTATCAACATTATATTACATTAGAATCACAACATTTCACCCCCTCCAAAGACCCACGCACATCCCTTTTTGCAAAGGTATGTAGTCCATCTGCGAGAGTTGCCAAAGTCCTGACAGTTCCAGCTTTGCTGAAAAGTCCAAGTCCTCAGAGACGTAAGGCAAACTCTTTAGTTATAAGCCCCCATGCAAATGAAAAGTTAAACACTTCCAACATTCAGTGACACAAAGTAAGCATTTTCATTCTAAAAGTTACAAATGGAAATACAAAGGAATGGAACCAAAGCAAGTCCAAAATCCCACAGGGCAAACATGAAGTCCTTTAGTTCCGTGTCCAGCATCTGAAGCAACTTGTGGCACACCGCAAGCTCCAAAGACCTTGTGTGGCTCCACCCCTATGGCACTTCCTGTAGTTGTAGCTCCCACGGCTTCTCACTTGGGCCTGCTTTGCTCCCTCCTTGCAGCTTTCTTCAGAAGCTCCACGGTCCAGGCTTTTCCAAACTTATGAGGTCTCCACTAAACCTCTTACTTCACACAGCTTCACACACTGCCTTCTCAGGGGCACACTGCCTGGCCTCCCAGGCCTTCTGACATTGAGGTGGAAGCCTTTTTAACCTCAGAACTCTTGCATTCTGCATGCACCTAAAACCAGCGCTGTGTAGATGATGCGAAGCTCTGCCGCCAACTGGAGCAGTAGCCAGGCTTGCCTCTCTCTCAGCTGTAGAAGTCCAGTGCCTGGACCGCTGGGCACTCTGAACCTGATTCTGAGGAACAAATTCTCTCTGCTGGCACGATTTTGGAGCTGGTGGGGCCTCCGCCATTCTGGAAGATAGTGTGGGTGCCGCCATTCTGCAACATGGCGCTCTGCGGCTTTCTTCTCAGAGCGAAGTCTTTCACCTTGGCAGTTTTGAGGCTGCAAAGGGTGGAGACTTGCTGCTTGCGGTGTCCTCAGACCATCTTTTCCGTTCTCTTGTTCCTTCCAGCAATGGAGATCTCCTCAGCTCTGTCTTTGCAGTCCACAGCTTTACTGGAGCTTCCTTTCTGGCTAAACTTACAACATTTTAAATCATCCTGTGGAGCTCTTTGCTCTTGATTCTCAACATAAATCTGGCTAAAAGCCCCCAGCAACAGCCATGCTACGACCTCAACATTCTACTGCCTTGAAATTTCTTCTGCCAGATTAATTACTGCACTGCCCTTAATCTCAGTCTTAGGCAAGGTCGCTGGACACAAGTAAAATGCAGACAAACTTTCTGCCAAGCCATAACAACATCGTCTGGAGTCCAGCACCTAATGCAGTCTTTCTTCCCAGGAGAAACCTCCCGAGCTGGGTCTTTACTGGCAAAATTTCTATCAGCCTTCTGGTCTTCTGAGCTCTGACCCGAATCTCCCATATAGAACAGCCGAATGCGTTCCAGCTCTACTCTCTCAGGCGACATCTCCAAGCCTTTCCAAACTCCTCCCACAAGCCATTTCCAAAGGCTCTTGAACCACATGGTCAGCTACAGTCACAGCACCGACCCCTCTGGTACCAAATTCTGTCTTGGTTACTTTTCTCTCATTTGCTGAGACAAAATACCTGACACCCAGAATTAAGGAAGGTTTATTTAGCTCACAGTTTGTGGAGGTTTCAGTCTATACTTGGCTGACTCCAAGGCAGGGTGGCACATGGCAGAGGGCTACAGCTCATGGCCACAGAAGACAGCAAAAGCAACAAGAGCAAAAGGAAGGAGTGGCAGTGGGCAGAGCAAGCCTCTTTGTCTCCTTTATATTGCATGCAAACTGCCCACCCCAGGGCGGGTGCAGCACTCACACCCGTAATCTCAGCATTGCACTATGAATCAATCATAAACTGTAGAAGCCCATCCCATGACTGCATGAGGCTTTGGGGGGTCATGCGGACACAAACCGTAACAGTCACCATCAGGTTCTGCATCCCCGAGCCTAAACCTTCTCAAAGCCCAATCACCAGTGTTCAGCTGGTTTCTCTCTGCCCACTGGGCAGATCCACCAGGCCCAGGCAGGGGGCAGTCCTGACCCTGCACCTAACAACAGTGTCCTCAGTAGCCAAGGCGCTTCCTGGGACACTAAAAGCACCGCACCCAGCAAGGAGTTTGCGTATATTGCCGGGTGGGTGCAGAAGGCAGCAGCCACTGCTGGGCTGCTCGTTCCAAGGCTGCTGCCAGGGTGCTGCGGCAGCTGCCACCACACCTCACAGTGGACAGAGCTGGAGCCAGTGCTCCATTCCTTTTCACTACCAACTAATATTCTGTCGTGTGGCTAGACCAGCGCTGGTTATCTATTCATCCACTGATAGGCACACAGGTTGGACACTGAGGGGGTTTCCCAGTGTCCTTTCCCAGTGGACTTCCCAGGAAGTCACCCATGATGACCAAATAAAAGATATAATCCCAAACCGGAAGAAAATGCCCTACATAATGGTACTGAAACAACAGGTGAAATTTCTATACAAGGATATAATCGCTTACTTGGGATAGGGTCAGTGTGAGTGTTCTGGTTTGGATGAGTGCTCTGCGTCTGTGTAACAGGCTATCCTGTCCTTGGGGGACATGGGATGACTTACTTAAGAGCACAGGGACATGGTATAATCCACAACATGCAATGGAACGGTTCATCAATAGAACATTCAGGAGCGTGTGTAGGAAAATGAAGGACAGACGTAAAATATTCCGCAATGTGAGGGATTTCTTTGTTGTCGCTGTGCACACTTTCTTGACATTTTGAATTATTTTAAAATAGAATGTCTTTTAAAGAACACATAAAGCGTGGGCTTCAGACATGAGCAACGTGGGAGTAAGAACCCAGCTGGACCGCTTGCTGGCTGTGTGAGGTGCAGTCCGTGTCTCTACCTCTCTGAGCCTGCCAGGCAGGGTGAGTGCGGGGCTGGTGTTCACCCAGCGGCAGAACCAGAACCTGAGCTCAGGGCGGCCCCTGCCTTGCTGCACACCCTCGAGCAAATCTGCCCGCTCTGGGTCTGTTCTGGCTGCTTTGCTGGGTCTGAGCCCTGACTGCTCGAAACGAGGAAGGGCCAACCTGCAGCAGACAACCCCAGTCTCTCCCCTGCCCCGGTCTGACTGCTTTGCAGACGTCGCCTCATCTTCATGTTCACCCGCGAGAAAGGCACCATTTCCCCCATTCGACAGATGGGGAAGTCGAGGCACTGAAGGGTGGTCATGTGCTTGAGGATTCACTGCCAGCTCGTGGGAAGCCCTCCCCCGGGCCCTGGCGGCTGCAGGTGGAACCAGGTGATTTCCGGGAGCCGCACAGCTGTGGGTGGGCAGGGCAGATGCCCTGCAGTTTGAATTTCAGTTTCCTCCTCCCTCAAGCAGGGGTGGGGCAGAGGCCTCTCAACTTAACTTTCCATTTCCTGGACTGCTCTGGACACAGAAGTTGCAGAGACAGCACAGAGCAGTGCCCGGGGCTGGAGGACAGTTCCCAAGCTCTGCCGCTCGCCAGCACCCCAGCTGCCGGCAGCAACATGGAAAACTGGAGGTCCCTCGTGTCCACGGTCCCGGCTCAGAAGCTGGACGAATTCATCCAGCAGCAGCTGAGGCCCTATGAGAGCTGCGAGAAGCAGATCGGGGAGACTGTGGGTGCCATCTGCACCATCCTGCTGGGAGACAGCGTCCCCCTGGTGCAGGACGTGGCCGTGGTGAGTCCAAGGCTGGGAGGTTGCCGGGAGGCTGATGGACCCACTGCTGCACACCTACTATGTGCCAGGCCCCCGGGCGGGACCCTCGGTGAGATGGTGGGAGATGGGGCTGGGCCGGGGCTATTCTGTCAGCTCCTGCTGCCTGGCTGCGTGACTCTGGGCAAGCTGCTTAACCGCTCTGGGCCTCAGTCTGTCCATCTGTACAGGGGGAATCAGAACAGAGCCCCCTCCCGAGTGCCGCCAAGCTTGAGCACCACACTCTTAGCACCAAACCGGCACGGTGGATGCTCAGTATGATTTCTGCCCCGCACCCCAGTACACAGGGGTAAGCTGAGGCTGGAGGAACTCAGTGCTGGGACCCAAGGTGTCTCTGTGATTGCCCAAGGACAAGGGGAGGACTGGACCTCCGTGGGTGCTGGGTACTGTGAGCCCAAATCCCAGGACTCCTGGCTGCAGATTGGAGCTGTGGGGCAGGGGCGCAGGTGAGGTGCAGAGCCCCCGGCTCTGCTGCTATGACGGAGAACCTGGGGGGAGTGTACTTTATAAAGAAACGAGGTTTACTCAGCACACAGTCTGGGGTCTTCAAGGCTAAGCGGCGTGGCACACAGCCGTGGCCGGGGCCATCAGGTGGGTGGAGGGTCCTATCTCAGACCAGGAAGCCAGGCTTGGGAGGGGCTGGGATCTCGGGACCCCTTGGGAGGACACGTCCCCAACAGACCCAAGGCCTCCCGTGAGGTCCTCACCTCGACACATGGCCAGACGGAGAACCACCTCTGACCCCGGGACCCCCAGCAACAGGACACATTCGGGCCACAGCACCGCCCTCTGCCCCTTCCCTGCGATTGTGCACTCCAGCCTTGGCCTTAGACACACTCGCTGTCCCAGACAGTGAGACAGCCGGGCAGTTGGTGGCCTCTGCCCCCAGACCTGGGGTGAGTTCACTCAGTAACTCGTGTCAGAGCTGGCGTTGCAGCCCAGGTTTCCCGCCTGAGACCGTGCGTGCCTAACCACTAGGCTAGCCTGCCCGTCTCCACACATCTTTCCTAAACTCGCCATGGTAGTATGTGCCTGTAATTCCAGCACTCAGGAGGCTGAGGCAGGAAGATCACCAGGAGTTTGAGGCCAGCCTGGACTACATAGCAAGACTCTGTCTGAAAAGAATGACAGCAAAAAAATGTTCCTCACCCCACCCTGAGAGCCCTGGCTTCCATCCAATCAACACCCCCAAGCCCAGGCCTCCACTGTCCCAACTTCTATCAGTACAGATTCATTATACCTGTTTTAAAACTTTTTATGACTATTAGATGATCAACCAACCCAGGTTACCCAGGACAGAGGTTTTTCCTATAATGTGGGACTTTCACTGTGAAGGGTTGGAATGTTCCAACTAAACCAGGATGAGTGGGTCACCCTATGGGGATGATCAAGCCTTGTGTGCACTCCAGTGTATGGTTTCCTTGACCCATCACATTTATGATGTTGCTGGGATACCACAATCACATTTTTCATTGTTGTATAGTATTCCATAGTGTGGCTATAGCACATTTTCTGCCTCATTGTCAGTGGCCATTCAAGTTGCCTCCAGTTTGGGACCAGTGTGTAAAACACTGCTATGAGCATCCCCACCGGCCTTTGGATGGACAAATGGACCCTGGCCACTCAATTTCACGATGATGGCAACATTTTTGGCTTTCACGTGAGTTGAGACATGCCACCATCCGCTGGAGTCCCCCATAATCTGAAAGAGTCAGGTCTCGTATGTGCCATTCTGTCCCTGGCAGGGTGGCTGCTACGGCAGGAAGACGATCTTGAGAGGCGACTCCCACGGCACCCTCGTCCTCTTCCTCCATGGCTTGAAACAGTTCCGGGATTGGGCAAAACCCCAACAGGACATCCTCCACAAGATCATGGACCAGCTGGAGGACACCCGGCGCAGGCAGAGGCTGCCACACCAGTGGGAGACCTCCAGGACTTCCAGCGGGGTCTCCATCACCGTGTCCACGCGATGGCAGAAGGTCATCTTCGAGGTGCTGGTCGCCTTCGATACCTTGGGTGAGTGTTCCTGGGGGTGGGGAGGACGGCCCGAGGTGGGGCGCCGCTGGCCTCTGGGGCCGCTGCGCGGGCGGCAAGAGGAACAGTCCTGGTACCTTCCGGGATAGGAGCCTGAGGCCCTCGGGGCCGCAAGCCTCGAGCGGGCTTCCCGGATCCAGAGCCCAGCTTTCCCGCCAGGGTGCCCGGGCTTCCCGGAGGCTTGGGAGCGCTCCTCAGCCCGCGCTGCTGCTGCTGGGGCCCGGCCACACCTGGGGCTTGAGGGCAGGCAGCGGTGCGGCAAGAGGAGGCGGAGCTTGCCTGGGGCGACAGCCCGGGAGCGCCCTCTCCCGGGAAGTCAGCCTCTCGCCCAGGTCAAGGTCACGGTCAAGGCTCGGGCAACAGCCTTCCACGGGAGACTCTGCCAGAGCAGGGGGCACGGGGGGCGCTCGGACCCAAGTCCTCTCTCCAACACTGCCCACGCCCTGTGCCTCCTGCCACCGCGAATGTCCCCAAGGTCCTGCCCCCCACGGGCTGTGTCCTGATCCCCCGCTCCTCAGCGGGCCGGGTGTTGACGGCCCCCGCTTGCTTACCTCTCTAGCCCAAGCACTCAGCGTCATACTGAACGTCACCCAGCTCCTCAATCCCATCGTGCTTCACTCGGCTCCAGACTGTGCCTGTGCTGTGTCACCGTCTGGAGCGTTCTTTCCTCAGCCTTTACCTGTGGAGAATTCCAACTCATCTATGTCCTCTGGCCTCCCACATCCGGGTCACACCACCTCCTCTGTGCTCAGTAGGAATTGCCGCTTTCTTGCTCATGAGATACATCACTGACACAAGATAACTTTTCTAGTTTTCTCCTCACCTGGACCATGAGCTCCATGAGGATGGGTACCATAATTATACTGCTCTTCTTTGGCCTCTACTACAGTGTTCATTACCAGTAATAGTTGTTGGATAGATGATGGATGGATGAGGGATGGACGGATGAATGGATGGATGGATGAATGGGTGGATAGATGAATGGATGGATGGATGGATGGATGGATGGATGGATGATGGATGGATGAGGGATGGACGGATGGATGGATGGATGGGTGGATGAATGGATGGATAGATGAATGGATGGGTGGATGGATGGATGGATGGGTGGATGGATGCATAGATGGATGGATGGATAGATGGATGGATGGATAGATGATGGATGGATAGATGAATGGATGGATGGATGGATGGATGGATGGATGATGGATGGATGGATGGATGGATGATGGGTAGATGGATGGATGGATGGATGGATGGGTGGATGGATAGATGGATGGATGGATGGATGGATAAATGAATGGATGGATGGGTGGGTGGATGGATGGATGGATAGATGATGGATGGATAGATGAATGGATGGATGGATGGATGGATGGATGATGGATAGATGGATGGATGAATGGATGGTTGGATGGATGCATGATGAATGGATGATACATGGGTGGGTAAATGAATGGAAGGAAAATGAGTAGGTGGGCTGATGTGAATGGATGGATGGATCCATCAATCAGCTGGCTGACTGGTGGGCAAGTGGATGACGGATAAATGGGTGGGTAGTATGCAGCAGAGTCACAGCTCAGTCTGAAGCACAAGAATACATACATTCACAAACTTAAAGAATAGAAATTCAACCTCTCCTTAAACAAGTGGGGAGCAGGAAGTAAAGGAATGTGTCCGGGGCAGCACGGCCAGTGACTGACAGAACTAGAAGCAAAGCCCCAGGCCAGTGCGCTCCCCATCCTCCACAGCGTTAGGGGATTTCTGCGTTAGGAGGGACCTTGAAGAGCAGTTATCCCAGCCATCATCTGATAAGGAGACTTGGGTTAGAGCACTGTGCACCGGCCCTGCAACCTTGGCCTGGTCCTATCCGGCCCACCAACTGTAGGCTTTCAGGGTCCACGAGGACGCATGCACCTGCCTCAGAGAAGGGCTGGAATCAAGGTGCAGAGACATGCGTGGCTCCAAATTCTCACAGGAAATCCTGCCTGCTCTCAGGTTATTGGAAGTATGGTGGTTGAAGACCAGGCCAGAGCGCCCTCTGCTGGGCTCTCCTGGTCACGCAAGGACGATATGAGAACTAGAAATGCCCTTTCCCCCATGTGGTACCCAGATGTGACCACCAGATGGTGGTAGAGCTGTACATTCCATATTAAGATCCCCTTTCTGGAAGGAACCTGCAGGAGGGTTCGCAAATTGCTGTCTTTGCTAAGTGCGAGCCTGATTAACCCGACCACTCTTTTCCACCAAGTTTCGCAGGCCTCCTTCAACTCAATTTCTGTCTCTGCTGTTGGCATCCCACTCTTTTCCCGGAGCCTTCCACCCAAAGAACCCGGCGCCTCCTTCCTTGAAGTCCCGCTGTCTCCTCATCTGGCAGTTTGGCACACCGGATAAGTGTGTTAAGAGTTGCGCATACCAGGCTGAAACTCCCTGGTGCGGAGGAAACCCCAGGACTCTGACCCAAGATAAAAAAAATTTTTTTAAGGCTTTGTTTATGAATCCGGCTTCTGCTTCCGCCTCCAGGACCTGCCCTCGCCCTCCCCGCCTCCTCCAGGTCCCCGTGCCCCTGACTCTCAAACACAAAACTCACAATGCACCCAGCTGAGAATCTCCCCGCAGGATACCCGCGCTTCCTTGCCTTCTGCACGCACCACTCTTCGCGCTTTCTGAGCAACTACTTTCCTGTTTACGACTGTGATTCTCACCCATCTCTGCGGTCTGTGGATCCTGTCTCGGGTCCATACCGTACCGTTCTCATTATAGTCGTTTTATTTACTTATTTAAAATCTCAAAAGTTTTTAAAGAGAGTCTCACCTGGTTGTCTAGGCTGGCCTTGAGCATGGGATCCTCCTGTTTCAGCCTCCTGAGGACCGGGGTTACAGGCATGTGCCTTTGTGCCAGCCTCACCCCAGCTGGTTTAGACTACACTTTATTACCTACCAGGGCCAGCCCGCCTGCACCCCAGCAGCCTTCTTACAGTTTAAGCAGTGGGCATGTGCTGCCCAACCAGCCCTGACCTTCCCCGGTGACCCACCCTGACTCTGAGCCAGCGCTCCTGAATACCAGGATCCCCACCTCTCCTCTCTGTCAGGTGTAAGCGAGAACCCCACCCCCTGGCTCTATCGGGAACTCATCAGATCCATGGATGAGACAAATGCCCCTGCGGGGAAGTTTGCTGTCTGCTTCACCAAACTCCAGAAGAAGTTTTTTGATAAATATCCCCCCAAAGTGAAGGATTTGATCCTCTTGATGAAGCGGTGGTGTCAACAGGTAATTTTCACATTATACCTTCTACTGTCGTTCACTTCCTTGATATAACTGACAACAATCTTAAATATAATACAATCCTCAAAACAGGGAGCATTTCCTGCAACCCAGGAGGCTGCTCTAAGCCTGTCCTCAGCTAATAATCCCCGAACTCTTATTCCAGCATCAGTTACCACCAGTTAGTTTTATTTTTCAGCAACTTTTTTCAGCACTTAGACCCGATCCCAGGTCCTCACACATGCTAGGCAAGTACTCACCTGCTGACTTACACCCCAAGCCCATCTTGCCGATGTTTAAACACTGCCACTGGAATCTTACTATACATAGTAAGATTACATAGGTCATCTCCTTTTGCTCAGTATTATGTCTGTGAGACTCAGCTACATTGCTTCCTGTAGCACTAGTTTTTCATGTTTTATATTGTGTTGTATTAATGCACTACATATTTGTCTTTCTTGTCTTCTTTTTTTTTTTTTTT